ACTGGCCCAGGTCCAGGATGTCCACTCTGCTGTGGGAGACAGTCTGATGTGTGTGAGAGATGAGCTGAGCACTGAGAGCACAGGGAGAGGACTGAGAGAGTAAACACTATTTTATAATTATTCATGATTATTGACCACATGAACAAACAGTGAAATCCTTCAATACTCTGAGACAGGTTGTTACGTGGGACTATGGATCCCTTTGATTTCATAAAGCTCAAGTAGTTAAAAGTAAGCTATGGTTCAAACAACGCTGTGCAACTTTCTTGTGTGATTCTATGAAGATAGATTCATTTTATGCCATACTTGGAAGAGTACAGATAAAGCAACACCGTTTTTTTATGGAAACAAGAAGGAGGCCCTCCACCAGGACAATATAGAGTCTGATTTGTGGAGACCCAGGCCTGCTTACAGTAAGGACACATGTTTTTCAGTGTAATAAACACAATCAATAAAAAGGTTTTAGTTTATTTTTTGGCAAAAAGTTACACATTGCGGGTTTAATGTGACATCAACATCCAGATAGAAAACACTATAGAAAAGATATATTTTATTAAAATGCTTCTAAAATTCTCACAATCATCATTTCTGTTCATTTATTATGTAATGTAAATGATTATTATTAAACCATCTCGACCTGTCAAAGAAAGAGCCACAGATTTGCATAGAATTAATTTTATTTATCACAAATGCAAAACATGAGCTGCATGCATGTTACAGCATTCGTTACAGCATACGAAAGAGCTCGCAAACCTTTCATTTCATACAATATTTTACTTTACAAATACACCAGGACAATGTGGACAAAGTCTCAAATTGACCAAAACAGATCAAAATCTTGACTACACTTTTTAAAAAGTAAATACAGACTGTGGGACTAAAGCAAAGACTTGCCAGTGAAAAATGTAGAAGACGGAGCCGGCGTACCAGCTGCTAAAAATAACATTATGTAAAAAATAATCTGTTGTTGTGTCTTAAGGCAAGACACTTGACAGCCGAAGGAGCTTCTGTGAGCACAAACACCTGGCTGCAGGGGAGAAGTCTGAAGTGTTAGACTCTATTCCATACCCCCTCCTCCCGCCTTCACTTTTTCAGGTACTGCTCAGTTCAGCAGCTCTATTTGAAATGTGGTTGCGGGTGAGTTTAATCCCACTTAAAAAGACAGATCTGATGCACTGAGACAAACTGGGAACACTGAAGCATCACACCTTCAATTGGTGCTAAATATCAGCCAGTTTCCAATAGCAGACATTATACTGATGTGAAAAAAATAAAATATGGCTGCTATACTGTCCATCCTTCCACAGTGATGAACCTAAAATGTATTGTTTATAGCTGTGATAAAAAGAAGAGGTGAGCTCTGTGCAGTGTAAAGGCTGCACTATCCTCTCACTACACCAGTTTAGTTTTGTCATAAATCTAGGTCTGTAAAACCAAGCCTTCAGTAGGTCTTTAATCATATTATTACTGTTGGCAACTTCAGCTTTTCACACAAGATTTATGCAACAAACGTATTAAGCTAAACCATAATGAAGTCGGTTTCTCTGTCCTCGTGCGTATACTGGACTCATTCACACCATTTCAAAGCTCTGAACTGTTAAGCATGTCTTGATAAGTGGAAGACACTGTTGTTTTAAGATTTATTTAAATTGATTTGGCCCATCTACTGGCAGTAACTGTGTTTTGTATGGACAGAAATCAAAGCTGAATTACATCTGTCTTTTACGACATACAGTTTATGGTTCAAGCAGCTTTTTGTGTAAAAAACAACTAGAAGGACTTGAATAATACAGCCAATATGTTTGAAAGGCATTTTGTTGGACAAGTGCATCTGTCAAAGAAAGACTGTTTCATTTCAGACATGGAAGCAACTGCCTGTTTCAACATCAAAGTGAGAAACATGAGTGGGCGGGGCTAATAGTGGTTCAGAATGGGAAGACAAGTGGAATTGGATTTAGCACAAACGGAGACCAGTTCTGCAAAATTGACTTTTCAGAGCATTTTTTGAAAAAAACAAAAACAAAATTATTATTATTATTATTTTTTTATGTTTTAAGACACCATATAGTGACAAATACAAGACACACACACACAAACTAACTACTAACTAACAATACAAACACTGGCACAAAATCTAAATAAATGAGACCAGACTGACACATGCACTTATGTGCACATATTACACATCTGTAGCTCTGTCGGTACATTTCTACCCGGGTGATCATCGATACCAAAACCCGTTTCAAAAATGTGGACCCATCTCAACGTGCAACAATGCTGAAGAATAATCGCACAGACAGATCGGAACCGGCCCTGGAGGCTTTAACCATGTTATCATTGTTTCCCCATTTCACTGAGCTCCTGCACTTACACTTGAAGTGATTCGTGCATGTTTGATCTTTAATTAACATGTCATGTTACAAACTGACCCATTTTCACCACCATTTCACCATTTTCACATGCCAGCTGTGACGTACGCAATTCTTTCCCCAATTTTATTTTCTTAGTTGGTGATACACGTAGAACTATGCAGTCACATAGTCACTTTGATACAATAAATAAAAAAAATAAATCTCCTCTCACTGGTGTGAAGTGCAGCAGCAGAGAGGATGACTCTTTGTTGTCATGATGTTTGTGGCAACATCAGTTCACACTGGGCACCTGAAACAAGTCAGTGGACTGGTTTCTTTTATTATTTGTTTCAGATGAATATTGTGATTTAAAAGGTGCAAGTTATAACATAACAGGTGTCATAGATTATAATTATAGATTAGACAATATGTCTCCTCTAAAGCACCATGTACACTGTTTACTAGTTAAAGAAGTTCATGTAGTGTTTAGTGATACTTTAAAGGGCTCTAGTGTGCGTCTGTCAAACTGAATAAAATATATTATTTGATATGTTTGACAAAACTTCCATGTCTCAAATATAACTTCTCCCTTGTCAGGTATTGGACTTCTGTTCATGATAAATGATGGCCCTTTTGAACTCGTAAAGTTGCTAATAGTCAACACGATGCCATTACAAACAACTTTAAAAACAACTTTTAGATCAATGGCCTAGCCCTGAAACCACAGTGAGCCCCAAATCAAATGTTATTTTAGCTCATGCAGAGACTATCATCCGTCACCTCGCAGCCATAACAAACTCCCTCACGGCTGCTGTCATCTGAGACTCTGCTAACTCCCAGGCTCAGCTTTAGCAGTGAGCGGTGGACGGATCAATACAGGACATTACCGTGGAAACATTAGGCCTGGTACATGCATCAGTGCGGGCTGCTCCAGCACAAAATGGCCTTTTAAAACTGGCTCCAGGTGATTCCCATGGCGCCCAAGGCTCAGCCGCGCAGTATATTTCCCTCCCAGAGAAGAAGAGTTTGTGACAACAGTGGACTTTGTGTCGTAGCAGGAGGAGAGAGGGGCAGAGTGGGCTGAGTCTGCAGAGGGGCAGGAGGGGCAGGAGGACAGGGGCAGGAGGAGAGGGTAGACTGGTCAGGTGTAGTGGCTGGAGTGCAGTGGGGTGTAGCCTGAGTCCACTGTGGGGCAGGCTGGGTAAGGAGGTGAGGAGGTGAGGAGCAGGTTGGACCAGGAGCCTAGGGAGGAAGGCAGAGTTAGGAGAAGGGCAAGCTGAGAGGGGCAGGTTGGGTCAGGAGCTACCTGGGTGCACTGAGGGACAGGCTGGGTGCACTGAGGGGCAGCATGGGACTACTCAACATGGCCAAGTAAAGAACTTTAGGTTTGGATTTCAAATTGATTTCAAATTAGTTTTCTTTTTCATTAGTTTGATCTATTTCTACCAGGGAAGTTAACCGTGCTAGAAATAAGAAAAACACATTTTTAACCACAGGCAGGTTACTTGAAATAAGAAAAAAAAAACAAAAAACAAGCAAGCAACAGACCATCCATCTAAAAAGTTACATTGCGCATCTTTAAATACTGACCTAGAAATCTAAACGTGTCAAATTAATATGGCTGTTCAGATGCCGTGCAATTGAATCCAAAGTTAATATTAGTTTAGCTTTTTCCAATAATTACAAGATTCAACATTTTATAGTGTGGAAATTGAAGCTGTTCAGAAAGTTCAGAAACCTCCACACTCAGTCTCATCTCCCCCCAGTACATGTCGTTGTCAATGCTGCCTGAGCCTCCACTTAGTAATAATCGGTTTGTTGTCACATTGATAATTCTTATGACATGGACAGACACTTTAATGTTACACCGGGTCTTATCCTGAAGCATGGTGCATTGGAAACTTAAGTCATGGAACCAAAACGGACGCTTCCTGACACAGTGTGGTCTCTGGCTCTGTACCTTTCAAACCTTTTTAGGTACCAGTACTATATTGATACCTCATTTTCTACAGTGCTTTCCCAGAACCCACTTGTCATTAAAGAAGATGAGTTCTTTCAGTAGGGCTGGAAGATTAATTGCAAGCGTCTTGAAATTGCAATTTGAAAGGACACAATCAGCAAATAGCAAATGCTTCAATATTTGGAGTACCATAATTTCTGCAATAAACAGTAAAAGATCCTGGCTTATTCTGCAAGAAAACTACAAACCCATAGATTTGAACTAAACAAGGAAGTTAGTTTGTCAGTTAATATTTCAGTGTTTTTGCCAATTCTTCCTTTGAACAGAATCCTATTATTGAAAGAGAAATTGCAAATGTAATGAGATGAGATTTGCAAAGATTTCGCAGTGAGATCCATCTATTCATCCATTTTCTTCCGCTTTATCCAGGGCCGAGTGGCGGGGGCAGTAGTCTGAGCAGGAAGGCCCAGACTTCCCTCTCCACACACACTTCTTCCAGCTCTTCCGCTATGATCACAATGAGATATTTTTCCCAACATCTTTCAGCCTTATCTTTCGGTACCAGTTTTTGGTTCAAAGACCAGTTGTACCCAGACCTTTTTATTCGGTATTGTACCATGTTTAAGCAGTACACAGCCCTAGTGTGGTCTATCAGTGTACATGAGTGTGGCTACGTTTAGTGGATGGCCTCATGTTGACTTGGGTCCCTTCTCACAGACGTCATTCTCGTATACCTCCATGTCCTGAAGGCTAGAGGCGTCAGTGTCCTCCCCTCTGGAGCTCACACTGCCCCTGTAGGCCAGTCCCCCCAGGAACGGGTACAAGTTATCCGTGAAAAGGTCCCGGATGTTATAATATGGAAGTTCTGGATCCTTCCTCTCTGGCTTCTCGATACATTGTCCCTCCATGGCTTTGTTCCTCTGATAATACTTTGAAAACTTGTTGAATATAATGGTGATGGGTAAAGCTACAACCAGCAACCCACAAATGATGCACAAAGTCGCTACTATTTTCCCAGGCAGTGTCACCGGACATGTGTCGCCGTAGCCTACAGTCGTCATGGTGATTGTAGCCCACCACCAGCCCGAAGGAATGGTCCCCAAGTCTGCATTCTGGTCCTCTTTTTCAGCAAAGTAAATGAGCGCGGAGAAGATGGAGATGCCCACAGAGAGGAAGAGAAGGAGCAGGCCCACCTCGTGGTAGCTGTGGCGGATTGTGGCTCCGAGGGCTCGCAGGCCGATGGAATGCCGTGCCAGTTTGAGAATACGCAGAACCCGCATGAGCCGGAGAACTTGGACCACCTTCCCTACGTTTTCGATGTCCTCATTTTCCTCCGCGTCTTCGTCAGCAGTTTCCAGGGCAAGCGTGGCGTAGAAGGGCAAAATGGAGGCTACGTCGATGATGTTCAGAGGGTTCCCTAGGAATTTTCGTCGAGATGGAGCGACGATCAGGCGTATGATGAACTCTGCAGAGAAGCAGGCGATGCAGATCTCCTCCAGGATGGCCAAAACGGGATCTTCGATGAGTTTGTCGTTGTCATCGTGCTGTTGGAACTCAGGCATGCTGTGAACGCACATGGCCACAATGGAAGTGAGCACAACACTGAGGGAGGCCACGGCGATGATCTTGGAGGCGCAGGAGTGGGCAGGGTCTTCCAGCCGCAGCCACACGTAGCTCCGCACCTCCCCACACCAGGCGCCCTTGAACTTCTCCAGGTCTTTGTCCAGCGCCGAGAGCTCCTCCATGGAAGAATCGAAGCTGGGCTGGCCCTGGTCATCACTGCGGACATCCCAGTCACGCTCCTCCATATACTCCTTCCTCTCATGGTACCTGTGGACACGCAGAGTGAGGCATGATTGTGAACTTACTACACAAATGATTAAAACTGTAAAATTGTTTTCTTTTGGTTTGTAAGGTTGTATACCTTTAGTTGATTGATTAATTAAACAGGTGTCTTAGTTGAAATACATTTTGGAGAGATAATTTTAATGATATACAGTGGAGCATTCTGGTCAAAGAAATCACATCTCCATGGAGAGAAAAAGCAGCACCTTCACCAGAATAATTACATAGTGCAAATTTAAGTGTAATTTTGGAGCAGGTATAGTCAAATTCTAGGCCATATCGTCCTAATTTAGACCTGAAAAAGACCGGGTTTAGGTCTGGTGGTAGTATAGTGGTATGGTGGTACTTTTTAGTGTAGAGAGCATTCACCTCGTCCTGTACACTGCTAAGCTACGGCATGCAGTTTAGCGTGAGTAAACAAACACATAACAATAACAACGGTTACTATTGTATCTGAAAGTGATAGTGTGTCTGTCCTCTGTGCTGTTGCAGTCCTTCCATACTTTTCTAGTTTGTACACTAAATTAAAAAGTGAACAAATGCAGTTATTTATTGTAGGCTCTAGTACAGCTAGAACAAGCTTCAAAATACACACACAAAAAAAGCGATACTTTTTCAGCATTGATATTTGCTTTCTTGAGTTCTAGGTACTGATTTTTTTTTTTTTACAACCCTACTCATAGCAGCTCCTACCATAGCAACGGCTGGTTGCATTTTGTGGCTACCTGGTCCACACACCAAGCTTTTAGTTTTTTGAGCCCATTTTTTTAATGTCATATCATGGGATTTTAACCAACTAAAAAGTGCAGCATCTGCAGCAGTTCAAAGGACACAAGTAAAGGGCTGTTGGATTATGTGAACTGAGCAGTTTGATTTTCCTGTATCCATGGAGACTGTGCAAGAGGCTTCCTAATGAGTGAGTTAAGGAGATAGTTAAGGAGCTAACTATGGACATTTGAACGCTACAGGCATTTTACATCATATGTGTCAGCAAAGTAAAGAAATAGTAAATACCATGAGACCTTCCAGTGGAAATACTTTGGTGAGAATGAACCATTTCATCACTGACTAAAACACTAGAGCAGAGACAGAACAAGGCCTTTCCTGTTGTTTCCACATGGTTTCCTCTGGACACTGCTGTGATGCTGCAGGACACAGGAGAGTCTCTTTTGTCTCTTCCTCCCCTCAAACTGTCCTGACACAGATCTGCTGACCTCCCTGACCATCCTCCTGTTAAACGGTGCTAAGGCCTTTGACTGAGACACAAAGGGACAGAGACGTGCAGTGGAAATGTTGCTGCAAAACTGCAACAATTTGCTGCAGCAAAATATGAATTTCCCTCAGAATCAATAAAGTATCTCTCTCTCTCTAATCTGTCTGTTGGCTGGAACGCCTAGCAGAGCTAATGACGCCCAAGACTATACACTTACAATACAAATATATTCTAGTCAAGAACTGTGTCCTATTGTCCTGATTT